AAAAACCAATCGACATTAAAAATTTCTGTTATACCGACACTTTTTGAAAACTTTTTTTTTCCATTTTAAGCTCTGATTTAAACCAATTTTAATGACATTTTTTAATGATTTAGTTTCAGCATATTTAAACAAAATCATCCGATACAGTTTTAGTTGAACCTTTAATATATAAATTGACTTACTATCCAATTTCTGAAAATGCTTTGATATGAGGCCACTCACATGATGAAATAACATTTAGGCAATTGAAATCAGAAAGCAATATTGAAGGGCTACTTAAGTAATAAATTACTAAAATGGTATAAAATCTGCAGAACCTAAGATTATAGTCCAAAGCTTCAACCAAGATTTAGATTTCGATATATCGAAGTACATATTACAATAGGTCAATTTAGGAAAGTAGGTATTGACTGTCTTTGGTAAACGGCAACGAAACTTCGGGTTCACCAAGCTTCAATATCATTTACACTTTACTTTACTTCAAGTATTTTTTAAATAAATTAATATTAAAAAAAGAAAATTATTTATAAACTTGCATCTTGCAGTTTTTTTTTTTGTTTTGTTTTTTTGAGCGAATTTATCTTTGTTAATGATCTCAAATCTTAAGAACTGTGTGCCTCTTCATCTTCACTAGCCATTTTGAATGGACTTAATTCCTTTTACGTAAAGACAAATTTTACCATTGGAAGAACAGTTTACACCCGGTTTCACACCTTTAAGATACGTTTCCAAGTGAGAGGAACTCGCCGCGGAAATCCTCATAGCCCTTTGCACGTGTTATTAATTCATTTATTAATTTAATAGTGGTTAAGTTTTCTTTTCATCATTGGATCTCTGCATATTTAATAAAAATATAAGTCCAAAACTTAGTGAAGGCTTGATTGGCGACAGAGCTTATTCATTGGATTTAAAAAAACAAAATATTTTAGCCTCCTCCGCAGATTGGTCCCATTTGGTGAAAAACTGGACATAACGCTATTTTAATCTTCTATTTCATTACTTGCAAAATTATACAAACAATTTTTTGAATTATTTGATCTCATTTCCATAAGATCAAACGTCAAAATTGTAATGGCCATATAGGAGAACGTTTCAAAAAATTAAAAGTAATATAAACACAACAGTTTATATTAGTGAGAAAAAACCCGCTTTGAGTGAATGAGTATATATATATATACATATTCATATGCATGTGTGTGAATGGTATGTATGTGCGAATCTATAATCAAATTCAGTGACGGTCTTAGACATTTGGTGCCCCCGGTCGATTTAGCTGTTTTATATCATGTAATATTTGAATTTTATTTCATTCAATATTTTTCTAATACAGTATTTTTATTATTACTCTAAAATTAATTATTTTAGTACCTTTTTTACATATTATTCTTAAACTCTTAACAAGTGGCGTGCATCCCGGGAAGTCTACCCGCCCTAAGGCCGTTACTGATAAATTATAAATATTAGTGGAATCATTAAAAAATGAAAAATTCAAGACCTCGAAAAAAAACATGCCAAATTAACAATGAAAGAACAAAAAAGGAAACCTAACATTACGATAAAAAAAAAAAAAAAAACTGAAAAAGTTCTTTATTTCTTCTCTAGACTGATATTCTAGACTCTAGATACTGCCAATATTCAACGTTAGATCTAAGTAATTGATAGCCAAAATTTCAGTACTTAAAACGAAATTGTAAGCTAATCATCCAATAATGTTTGTTCTTAGTCGACTGAATTTGGCTTACCAACATATAATTTGGCTTTCACAGATTTTCTAAAATGCTTTTTTCATTTCTTAGAGGTTACGAAAGAAAACCAATTGAAGGATAAAATATTTTTTTAACTTATCAGACACCGTTTTCGGTAATTGCGGAAGTTTGAAGGAAATTCAGAAAATATTCTGCATAGCTAATTTTTCCGGTTCCCATCGATTTTTCCTAAATTGGCCTAAAACCTTCAGTGAGATGTCAATAGTAAACAAATGACAGCAGCCAATGATGGTAAAAGAATAAAAAATACAGAAACTTTTTTAGGGACACTGCTTTTAGGGATACATTTATTTTATTTTTTACCTGGCACGTGCTTACATTTAGAAGCTGAACTACTTGTATTATTATTTTTAATGGGTACATATTTTGATTGTTTAAGTATTTAGCTCAGATCAGCCACAGCAATAAATATAGTCCAATAAATAATTTTTTTTTTCCGATTTGGAGGGGAGTCTTCAGTCCGAAAGCCCTCTCCCAGGGGATCCGCCAGTGGGTGGGGGAGTTATCAGTTAGTTGAAGGAATTAGTCATGATATAGATGTGTTACATTGTGCTAGTGATTGAACTAATAAAAATATGGATTTAGTAGTTACATTTAAAATAATATATCATATACCTGCATTGTGGAGTACACCACAGGGAAGCAATAATAAGAATCTGGTGCAATGGATCACACTATTCTCACTTACCACAATACTTTCAGCATAAATCAATTTTTTACATAGTTAATATACGTTAATAATACTGAGACAATTAATATAAATTATGGTAATGCTGTGCGCTATTTATTTTTTAATTATAGAGTCGGGAAAAATAACTAGTTTTTCAAATATTGTTCATGGAAATTCCATATAGCGTCAATGAAAACGTTTATATACCAACTACTAATATAAAAAGTAGACATGTCTTAACTACAAAAGTGAAATGTCATTAACTTTTCGTAACTCTCCATTGCCTTCCATAACCTCATATGTTAGATATTAATTATTCCAAAATCTTTAGATTTCTAACGATATATCATACTTCTTCTATATAATTACATGCAAACACATTCCTTTAATTTTCTTCATTAGGTTATAACCAATTTCTTTCATAGTTCATATTTGTCCATTGTGAGTTACTATTAACAATATTTCTAAAATATATTAAAAGTACTTTATGAGAAGAAATGTTAAAAATTCGGCATTTAAGCCCTGTCAGTATATTTCAATGAGGATGATATCGGACTAATATTAAATAATATTTCATTGTACATAGATATAAAGAGTTTAATCAAAATTATTATAGAGCTGTATTTGAGAAAATTGTATAATCGACGATGTTAAGTGAGACTTCTACCTTTAATTGGTAATTTCTGGTACCTACGACTTTTTGTTTTTGAAGACTGTTCACATAAACAAAGATTTTGCAATATTTAGTAATTTGGACTCAAGTGAATTTCAAACGTGTTTTTCCGTTGACGACTCGGATTCAAAATTTTTCACAGCTGGAATTATTTCCCTTACTGTACATTTCATATATAGTATAGCTAATTCAAGTAAAAATTAAGCATCTTCATAATTTTAAAATAATTATAATCTACTTGTATTATTTAGTTTTCCTTCATATAATTCGGTGTTTTAACATTTTTAAAAAGTTTACTGATAGTTCTTAACTGAAGAGAGAAGAATAAAAACAAAGGAAGACTTCTTTTGATGTAAATTATCAGAAATGTTAATAAGAAATGTTTAAGGATTTATATGAGGTGTGCGTGTGTTTCCAAGATAATTTACATTTTAGTAAATATTATGTTGTTTTTTGACTCAGAGATTCCTTGGTTTCTGATACCTTATCCTTTTGTTAAGTACTTGAGAAGAGTCGTTCCCTTGTGAAAGATGAAGTTCCAACCTGAGAGATAAAGTTGGCTTCTTATGTCCTAAGCCATCCTGCCTCTCAGCGGGTGTACCCTTCCTTTAAAACTCAAGGATTTTCTTCTTAATAAACTTCAATTTCTTATCCACCTTTCAAAAGTAACCAAGTTCGCCGTGAAACTGCCCATTTGATTTTTGACATTTTTTTTACTTTTGGAAATATGGTTATAAATCATCATAGACTCAGGACTTTTAAAACTCTACTAACTTTTAAATGAAAATTGAATTTACAAAATAAGAATCTTTGTTTTTTTTTTTTCATTTATAGGAATCTGACATTAGTTTGAATATTAGTTATTTGAATTACTCAGATCCGACGTTTGATAATTCTATCTCACTAATTTTTTCTCAGAGTACTAAGAGAACATTAAAGAAATCAATTTACAAAAGATTGGATTTTCGATCTAAAACACTACAATCAGAACATATTGATCTCATTCGATTTGTCAAGGATTGTTATATACCAACAATTTTTTATTTTATCACTGTGTATATTATAACAACAAGGCAATGTTCAAACGTTTAATTGATCTGTTCACAGCTTAAGTAATGTTAAAATTTAAAAAAAAATATTAGTGCATTGGAATATATGCTAGTGCAACTAACGTTTTTGCCTATATTTATTCAGATTTAAAATCTGCTATTATTCAGTAAATAATAATTTTTCTCAGAAAAAAATGTATCTGTGAGCTTGAGTTGATAATACTTGGATTGGTGTTGAAATGGTTAGTGTTTTTTTTATAATTGTTGAGTTTATTGCAGTATATGAGGATTATATGAAATAGGAAGCTACAAAAAAGAACAAGAAATCATCATCATCACAACCTAAACTGTTTCTAAAAAATAGAAAAATTACCAATATTTTGATAGGTAGAACAAAATGTCTCAACAATTTCAATATTAGACACCAAATTTCACAATTTCAATTGTCAGAAAAAAAGTTCACAGAACTTTAATTGTAATTTAAGCAATTACAATTAGGTAAGAAAATATTTTAATTGTCCAAACTCTTTTGATTTTGAACTTCTGACACCTATAGAAAACTTTAACAACTTGCAAGAATTTTATTATCTGTTCAAATACAACATTATAACGATTAAATCCCTCAATTTTAACTTTAAATGTGTTGATTATTCATTATAAATTCAGAAAATATTTGAGTAAAATCTGGAAAAGTTTTTTTTTTGCAACATATTGAATTATTTCATTTTCAATTTTTCTTCTGTTTCTTGTATTTAATTGAACTAGAAATGAACTGGTACAATTTTTAAAAGTACATTGATTATTAAAATGTATTGTTAATTATATTTTTATGTATGTTGTAGAGGAAAAAATAACGGAGGATTATTACAAACGGTACTTTAAGCCGAATGACAACCCAAACTTTGTGGAATATGATCCTCTAATTCATGGCTGGCGTGGACAGGAGCCAAGACGCAATTGGGTTCCTCCAGTGTCTGTGGCACCTAAGACCACACTTAAGGTGACCCCTCAAACCTCTGGAAGAGCTGCAGAAGAGGCTGAAGAAACTGTAGCTGAAGCAGGTGATCAACTGCTGGATGGTTCCCCATCTACTTCTCGTAGATCCGGATTCAAAATTTTTTGCCAATGCTTTGGCAAAAAGTGAGCTTCATGTCTTTTGCTACTTCCTAGGTAACATAACGGATGAATGTTATGTTACAGATAAGCTCTTAGTATTTTCTGCCAAATATATTGATGAAATTAATATAACCTTGATAAAAATTATCATATAGATAACAAGTAGTGTTTAATTATTTTACAGAACTGTGCACAGACCTAATCTAAATAGAAAAGTAAACAAAATTTTCAAATAAATTATAAATTGTTTAACTCATTTTAAGATGTAAAGATATTATATGAAAAGTTCCTACTATCATTATCATTATCAAGGTGATCGATAATTAAAAAAAAAAAAATTGTTTTTGATACCTAGAGATATTTAATAATTTTAGACATTATAGAAGTTTAAAAATAATGTATTAAAATTGTTTTAGCCTTGTTAGTAGTTGTTGTAGCCTTTATAAAAGAAAATTTGTATTTTTATAGTTCTGGTGTTAGTTAATGTATAAATAATGTTTATATTTGTTAAAATAATTATTAGATCACCGAAATTATCATTCTTAAAGACTGAACAATGCTTTAATTAAGTGAAATTGGCTTAATATAGCCAGTTTTTACATTAAAATTTTTTTTTTTTTTAATTCTTAAAAATGAGTTATATATATTATTTTTGTATAAGATTTTAGGTATTTTAACATTTACACCAAAAAAAGAAATAACCATTATATTTTTAGATATTGAATTAGATATAAAAAAATCTCAATGTATGACTACAATAAGCTAAATATCTTTACAAATATTACATATTTTAATTTATTCAATTTCAAAAACTACTATATGAAAAAAAAATTATATTGTTTAACAAGTATATTATTCATTGAACTGAAAAAAATAATTCTGATAACTTTAATGATTATGCTAATGTAGTTAATCCATTTGAAGGCATTATCATTAGTACATTTTGATAATTTTGCAATATAATTAATCTTGGGAAAGAGAGTAATTTACTACTTCCTCAAGTTTAATATTAAAAGTTTAAATATTAAAAATTGACTTCAAGGAATATTTACTTGTGATTCCATTATTAAATATCAATATAAACAAAAATACAATTATGGAAATTATATACTTTTTATCCAAAGTTTAGTTATTATCCATTTACTATGCAAAGGTCTTTAAATTAAAATTTGAAGAAAAAAAGTTTACAACTTTGTATAGTATGATGGAATACTTCTATATCAAATATAAAATACCAGCTTTGAATTTATAATATCACAATATTTAATAACATGCAGTACATATTATATGTATCAATTTTTATATACAGGCAATAAACAATATAAAAAAAGATTGTTTTACTATTTAATCCCATTGTCATGTATACCTCAAATGAATTCCAATTTCATCATTCTGAAATATGAAGCAACAACCAAAAATGCTGAGAACTATGAATAGAGGAAAATAGTTTAAATACTCTTGTGAGACAATTAAAAGAAAGTGAAGTAGAATGCAGATGAGTGATAATATTAAAATAATGTAAAGGGTAATTATAACTAATAAATTTATACAACTAATAAAAATATTTTATAGTAAATAGTGAAAAAAAGTATCTAATAAATAAGAGTTTATAAAAGAATGGTATAATGAATTTTAACAGTGGCACAGTTGGACAAAAGGCTTGATTTTTTATAGGGTTTTTTCACCTAGACATAACTTTAAAATAATTTTAATGGGGTTCATACACTGTAATTTGTTGTAATGAATTGAATGGTGAAGTATTTTGGTGGTAGGAGCAACGTAACATTTGTTTTGTTTTTTTTTTGTTTGTTTTTTTCATTCTAGTTCCTTTCCCAACTCAATCAATTCTAACTCAACCAAGTTTAACTAAAATATAAAACAATGAAAAACTTGAAACGCAAATTTCCTACAACCCAAGTATTTAAAAAAATAGATATAAATAAAAATTCTCTACTTATCTATTGAATATAATGTTATCTTACCTTACATAGATATATTTACTCAATTCCTATCATATATGATATATTAAAGAAAAATTATAAATAGAGTTATAGAAAAAGAAATAGACCTTCATGTCTTAATATTGTAGTAAGTCTTCTTTAAATTAAAGTAGTTTAATGTTATACAGTATTTTTTATGTTTTATTAATTGTACTAAATTTTATTCAATTAAAAAAGTATTTCAGTATAATAAAAAATAATGTTTTCACTAAATGATATAACGGTTTAGTGAAAAATATTGTTTTTATTAAACAATATACCGGTTAACTAAAAGATAATGTTTTTACAAGACAATATATCATTTAACAAAAAAAATGCAAGTAGTTTCTTTCTAATTGTGTATATTTCAATAATAATGATACATTTTTATACAAATACAATATATAAATACAACTAAAATGTTATATTTTTTAAAAACACATGAATAATTATATTCAAATATTAATAACTTTTAAACTGGACCGAGGGTGATGGCATTTTTGGTATTCACATTAAAATAATATCTTCCTACAATTTTTAAAATCTTTTTTTTTCAGTAAAATTCAATAAATTTTTGTAATAGTTGAGTTTCTGAAAATTTATAAAAACAAAATATTTAAATCCGAAATAACTAAATTACCTAATAAGACTGATTATCTGGATTCCATTTGTTTGAGTTTAAAAAAGTTCTGAACACAATGTGCTTATTACATAACATGCAAAAGATAAGATAAATAGCATTATAATTGAGTAGCGAAATATTTTAAAAACATGTAATTTTATGTCATATATAAATAAAGTGGTCAACTTTTTAACATACTTATGAAAATGTTGCCATTAAAACCCCTTTGAAATCACTTGAAAAGTTATTATAAAATAGTTCATATATGTACATATGCCTAAAGAAAACATGTACATATTTTAAAGTAAATATAGAAATTTTGAATTTTGGTCAATGTCATGAGTTTTGCCTGTCCCGTCCCACTGTGGGTGGTTTGGTTAAGAATGTAAGAGTGATGCTATATTAAATACAGTCTATATGTTATATACCAATGAGGTTTGATTGTATGTTGTTTGGAAAATAGATTTTCTTCATTAATAAAAAAAAAAAAACACTATATTTAAAATTTATTAAGGAAGACTATTACAATCTACGATTCTAAATAAAATATTTTATCAATAGATATGTATTTTGCTAAATACATTCAATTAAACAAATTATAAATTAAGTGTAATGATAATAAATTAAAACATTGAGAGAAATAACTCCAGTACTTATTTAGATTCTGTTGAAAATTGATCACACTGCCAGTCACTAAGCATACTATGAATGACAAGACAAATTTTATCTTCTATTTCTTACAGTTAAACATTGAATTATTTAGGTTAGGACCTGTAACCCTCTCTACCATTGTAAGTGATGAGGTCCCATTTTGATGTGGAATGAGAGCAGATTGAATAATTTGACTTAAGAAAGTAATTTTCCATTTCCTGATAATAATGAAAATGTATGACTGCCATCCGTTAGATGAGATATCACCTGGTGGTAGTTTAATAAATGGATGTTGAGAAGGTTGGCCATGAGCAAAGGATAAACCTGAAATAAACAGATGATTATGGATGATCATCTATGAAGAAGCAGAAAGATGGGAAGAATGGTGCTTTGGATAGGAAGAGTTGAAAGTATACCTAAGAAATTTTAAGGTTAAGGGATAATTAAAAGCAATCCAAAACGGAATGGTGCAAAGGAGGATTGTATAGAAGGCCACAGTCCTTCACAGGCCATATAACTATTGAAGTTAGTTGCTTAAGTTATAAAGAAACTTCTATTTTTTTAAATTATATTTCATTGATCCTACGTCAAAACTTATGTTTCACGTAGTATATTCAGTTTGTAGTAAACTATTTGGCACTCAGATATGATATTAAATTAATATGCAAGTGTAGCCATTTTTAATTTAATTTAAGATAATCATTTTCTCATAGTAAGATTTTTCTGGGATCAAAACAAACTAAGACTTATACAGGGGCAAATTAGATATAAATTATATGAAGAAGGGGACAAAGTATCTCCGAAACGTACAAAAATAAATAAAGAATAATGCTATAAATTGAGAGTGGTTATTTATTAATACAAATATAAGACATACAAATGAAAATGAAGAATAATACTATAAATTGAGAGTGAATTATTATTAAACTGGACTGATAGGCAAGAAGAAGGGAGAGAAAAATCAAATATTTGTATCTAATTTTAAAATAAACACATAATTCTTGAGAATTGTATGAAATAGATTTAAAACTCTGTATCAATAGTATTAATACAATGAATTAGACATAAGTCAACTTACAAGTTATTTTGAAGTTTCCATCTTTGGGGAAATTAAATAAAATTAAAAGCCAAAAAAGTATTGGCTCATGTTGTTATTCATTATAGTTTTAAAAATATTGTTGTTATTTTTTTTTAAGATTAGGAAAGTTGGGGGAATACAAATGGAACAGTGTAAACATATAAGCCTGAGTTTCAAAGTAATTAATCAATAGCCCAACAATCAATACTATACTTTTGGCACCAGTTAATCTATTCCACTAAAAAAAAGGGATATTAAAAGTTAAGTAGAAGGCAATATTATCAATAAAACCCAATCTTTAATTTGGTTTTGTTTAAGATTACTGTAATCAGATTGCACTATAGGAAAGTCAAATATCATCAACTCACTAATAAAATTGATATTAGTATGAGGAGTATTACCAATATAAAGAAATATACATTTTTTTAGTATAAGGAGAGAAGTAAACCTCATCTTGCATATTTATACATTAAAATCTTTAGAAAAAATAAATGAAATAGTAATAAAAAAATCAAACAAGATTCTTCTATGAACATTGTAGATTAATCTAGAAAATATAATCAATTTATACCGTATTTTGAAGAAGAATAAAACGTAAATTTTATTCTCGGACAGTAAGTCCCCTTAGAATAATTACAATGTACAATGTAATGACAATTGTCTGGCATTAGAAATAAATTAAATTACAAATTTATCTAGATTTAAAATTAAAATAAAGAACAGGCACTAGTAGATATATGAAATTATAGATAAATCCAGATGTGGGAGTTCACATATTTGTACACATAAACAATGTGGATGATATATAATTATCTGTAGAAACACATTAAATGCGACTGACAGATTTCAGAAACATTGACATTATTTTACACATATTCAGAAGATTGATTGACGAGTAGATAGATAAATAAATTTTGTTTAAATGAGGTCAAGGATGAAAATTTGCATATGGAGGTTGGTAGGGAATTCCAAAACATGGTAGCCCATATGAAAAAAGACATTTTAAAGGAAACAGTCCTATGAGAAGGAATAAACAGGTTTGAGGGCTAGGATCTCGTGTTGAACGAATGAGCATAGGAACAATCTAGAAGGTAAGTTTTTGGTTGAAAAGGTTCAAAAAAGGAATACACCTAGAAAATATTGCCGTCGGAAGACTGGATAGAGCCACTTCAACTCGGCATACCTACTGGAGACATGGGAGCTCCTGGGAACTCAAAAATAAATTTAATGAGACAATTCATTAGTCTCTTTAATCTGATCTCAAGCCTACCAGACAGTCCACTATATACAAGCCAGATAATCGAAATAAGGGAAAATGACTGAGGAAAATAGATGACGAATTTTAAGGGGAGGAATCACGGAATCTTAGGCACTGTTTGAGGATGGCAATGGATTTTCAGATTATTTGGGAAATATGATTATTCTAGGACAGATATAGATCAAACATTGCCCCAAGGTTTCTAACGGAAGTGTGGAAATGGATAGGTAGCCCATTGAGATAAACTAGGGGTTAATAAGGAATGGAATTAATTAGATGCTTGAAACCAATGAGATTGGCTTTGGTCTTCTCAACATTCAACTTTAAATCGTTGCTCACTGCCCAAGTATTGATTCTATCAATGTCTTCTTGAAACCTTCAGGTTGCCTCAAGCATCTTGGTAGGATGGAAGGAAAGGTAGATTTGGAGATTGTCAGCATATAAGTGATATTGTGAATGATGGATGGAATCAGGAAGGTCGTTGATGTAGATGGAGAAAAGAGTTGGAGAGAGCGAAGAACCCTGAGGAACACTGCCAGTTAGTAAGAAGGAGCATGAAAGAGTTTTATTAGGTATGATGACTGTTTGGAATCTGTGATACAAGAAGGAACGGAACCATTTTAGAGCACTAAATTTTAATTTTAGTAACACAAAGTCGAAATTCATGCACAATAATCCTTTCTAGAAAAGGTTACAAGAAATTAGCTAATGTTTATTAAT